GGGGGGGGGCATGGAAATGCCTCCCCTTGCACAGCTGGGGGGGTCCAGGGGACAATCCTGGCTTGCTCTGTGCCCTCCTGCCTACACCCCATGGGCATGGGGACAGGGAACATTGATGGGGCCATGCGGTCCCTCACCATGTCCCCAACCAGGGCAAGGGGATACTCACGCGGACTTGTCCACCTCCTGACGGATCTTCTTCACTGAGAGCCTGATGCCGAAGGCGATGCTGTTGAGGATGTTCTTGAAGTAGGTCTTCTCATCTACTTCAAACTGGGGGGACACAGCCACGTCAAGCGGGACAGCAGCCCCAGGAGCATGGGGAGCAGGGCTGTGGAGGCCTCCTACCACCATGAGCCTTGGGGACCAAGGGTGTGGAGTTGTGGCCATGGCTTGGATGTGGCACGAGTGTGTCCTCGTGTCCCATGCTGTGTGCCCATGTGGGCAGCTGCATCTCTGTCAGCTCTGTGGGTTCCCTGGGCCATGCAGGGAATGTAGATGTGAGGATGGGGCTGAGCTCTGGCGGGGACATGATGTGGAGAAGGGGACATTGTCCCAGATCCCAGGAACACGGTGGCACTGCCCATGTGGCTGTGGCCATGTGAGTGGTGGGCACAGTGAGATACCAGGAGGTGGCTTGTTTTGGGGTGACATCTTCCCATCCTGGTCCCCACAGACCCTGAGGCAGATGTGGGAACCATCTCCCTCCCCCTCCACATGCTCATGTTCCCACATGGCCCTGGGCCACCCCTTGCCTCATACTCCTTGTCGATGGCCTCCGGCTTCAGCAGGAAATCAGGGTACCCGATCATCACCATCATGTACCGGAGCTGTTGGCAAAGCAAGTGGTGGGCTCAGGCCCCCCATCCTATGAGTCATGGTGGGAGCAAGGGCAGGGGTCCACACTGGGGGCCACTACCTTGGCCCTGGCCGCTCTCCGTGTCTCCTCGTCCATCCAGTCCAGCTCATCCAGACGCTGGTCCAGGATGTATTTGATGTCCTCAACCAGCTGCTGCACCTACGGTAGGGTCACCACAGGCATTGGCACGGTGTTCTTGCTACCCATCATCCTGCCAGACAACCCTCTGAGGGTTGGCAGGTGGTGGTGGACACTTCGGCAAGGTGACAGGAGGGACATGGTGGCTCTGTGCCCACTGGCAGCATCACCTACCTTGGCCTTGCTGGCAGAGGAGAAATGTTCCTCGACAAAGAGGGCACCCAGGGCCATGCCGAAGTGCTTGTTGGCCTGGCTCAGGCAGATCTTGCCTGGCTCCAGCTGCTTCTCATTGCCCTCCATCTCCTTGGAGAGCTCATGGATGGCATCACGGAAGGGGGTGGAGAGGTGCTCGCTCAGCACCACCACAATACGCCACAGCATGTAGTTGTGGAGGATTCTGGCAATGGGGGCAAGATCAGGCGCCCGACACTGGACATGTCCCCAGGGGAGGGTGGGGACACTCCTGCTTGGGGATTAGGCAGGCCATGGGGGAGGCCATGGCCTGTGGGGACACAGGGATGGGCTGGCACCGTGTCCCTCCCGGCTGTGTGATGAGTTTGGTGACTCAATGGTGAGGCTCTGTGGGTGGCCAGGCCCAACCAGGGTGCTGTAGGCCTCATGGCAGTGCCTTCTCCCAGGGACCCCATGCCCAGCCTGGCCTCTGCAGAGTGGGTTTAATGGAGGAGGGGACAGCCACAGCCACCCTGCGCCCACCCCCATTGCCAGGCTGGGGAAGGTGCTGGGGTGCAGGGAGACCAGCCTCCCCTCACCTGCTGGGCGTCACACGGATGAGGTCGGACACCTTGTGCATGTAGTCAGTGGCCAGCAGCACCACCTCCTCCTCCTCCGAGAAGTTGTCATGAAAGATGCGGTCCAGCAAGCGCTTCCACTTCAGCTGCCAGGCCAGGCACCATCAGGGGCAGGGGAGACAGGGTCAGCCCCTCCATGCCACCCCAGCCTCCCAGCACCCCTTCCCACCCAGAAAAGCGCAGGGTGGATTCATCACCCTCAAGTGGACTCATCTGGGGTGACAGCGAGGGCATAGGACAGGGGGGACAGGGACAAGCATGGGGCACAGGGCAGATGGGGTGGGCACCAGGGATACTCACCGTGGGGGTGATGCGCTGCAGCTCACCCAGGGTCACTTTGTGGTACATGCTGCTGATGTCCCTCCGCATGTCATCGTACTCGGACACCGTGATCTGCAATGGGGTGGCCACGGCTGTCACCACCCCTCTGCCTGCCTTAGGGTAACACAGGGACAGTGCAAGAGGGGCTACTGACCCACAGACCTCCCTGTCCCGGGAACACTCTGCTGCCAATGGGGCCTTGAGGGCTGCTTATGGGGTCCCCAGGGAGTTGGGGTACCTGAGGGCTGGGCACAGGGTCCCCCAGGGCCGAGACTGGTGTCCCCAAGAGCTGAGCATGGAGTCCCCAAGGGCTGGAGTGGCTGAGGGCTGGGAGTTCTCAAGATGTTGGGCCTGGGGTCCCTAAGGGCCTGCCACAGAGTCCTCAAGGGGCTGGGATCTCCAAGGACCACACATGAATTTTCCCAAGAGCTGGGAGTGGACATTCCCAAGGGAATAGGGATGGGATCCCTAAGGACCAGGCATGGAGAACCCCAAAGATCTATGACTGGCATCCCCAAGTGTTGAATATGGGCACCCCAAAGCCCCAGGTGGGCATCCCCCTCACGTTGGCAAGGTGTTGCTCCAGCTGCAGGATCTCCTGGGCCTTCTGCTCCACCTGCTCGGCCCCCAGCAGGGTGAGCAGCCGCTCCATGAACACCCGGTACGCAGCCAGGATCTGTGCCAAGGGAAGCGATGCTGAGTGCCACCCAGCACCGTCGACAGCAGGGTGCCCTCTGCCTGCCACCCATGATGAGTGGCTGGTCCTTTTCCTGGTGTCTCCACAGCATCAGCATGGCCTCTGCTCACCTTCTCACTCTCCTCGTCCTGTCCCAGGTAGAGGGTCCGTTCAGGCAGCGTCAGCCCATCCTGGTCGATCTGTGAGGAGATGGGGCCAGTGGGTGAGCAGAGGGAGGAGGGACTGTTCTGGGTAAGGCATCCCTCACCTTCTCCTGTCTTGCAGGGTGCCCCTGGTGCCCCAGGAGCCATGGGGTGGGTCAGCCCCAGGCACAGCCAAGTCCTGTGCCTCCGTTTCCCTCCTGCTAGAGGGTGCTGGAGCTGTGGTGGGCAGCACGCAATGGGCTGGGAGTGCTGGGCAGAGGGCAGGCCTCTCACTCATGTGCGGCACATGGACTGCTCCGTCCCTGCCCCATGGTGGCCCCAGACCTGCCCCATGGTGGCCCCACACCTG